CGGTATCTGGATTCAGTACAGATAGAGGCAGAACGAGGAACCACAAGTCAGAGTGAGATTGTAGACATCAGTTGCAGTTTTTTATGTCCTTTCGATGTGTAGTCCATAGCTGACTAATGTTAAACACATGCAGACTGAGTGGTGCACTCTGGTTTGTGAATAAACTCCAGGGGCTGGGGGAGAGTGGGATATGAGTGGAAAAGTGAAATCGGGGTGGTCTGTGGTGACTGAGATGTGTTTTTCTTTTTTAAATGAATAAGCACTTATTATTTCCTCCAAAATTTTAAAAGACTGTTCTATGTAGTTGGGGACAGAATTTGGTTTTCTTCTCCTTAGCACCCAAGAGAGGACAAAACACCCCAGCCACAGCACCTGACCCTTAGGTGCTCCCATCACATCTAACTGACTAGCTCTTGGGTCTGAGTACCAAGAGCTCATTTCTTAGCATATTTCTTGCTCCCTCCTATAAGATCTGTGTTTCTAGCAAAACCCTCCTATCTAGATCTGTGTTTCTTAGACAAAGTAGCACTCATCAGAATAACTTGGCAATAATTGACCCAATGTCTTTTCCGCTTTTGGAGGACCAGTTTTTACAATCTGGAAAAGATCAACTACAAGGAGGCTTCATTTATAAACAAGGTGGATTAACCATGCTCATAGTACAAACACAAAATCAGAAATCCTGGGCATGGGGAAAACCTATGCACAATATCACAGCTTGTGTAAGGTTTTAAACTCATCCCTAGTCAATACTTTAATTGTTAAATGATTTTTATTCCTCTTTGTATTTATTCAAATTGGACATGAAACTTTGCATTTACAGAGTTTGCATGTACACTTAGCAAACTTTAGCAGATCTTCTCAAGTTGCTCACAGCTCTGTGATACTACAGCTCATCATGATCAAGCACAGCTGTACAAAGAGCAAAAGGAGTAAAAGCATATTTCTTTAGCCTTGTTAACTGGCACCTAGAATAACGAACATCCCTACTGACAGTATTGATCATACTGAGCATTGATTGTCCACTATGTGCCAAGCTCTCTGCTAACTACATTCCATGGAGCAGCTCATGTTTTTCTCCCAAACTACCTTGTGAGGTAGACAGTGTGCATTGCTCATTTCCAGAAGTGAATGAGGTTAAGTTGTTCCAGGACTCAGTTCTAGGGTGCTAGAACATGTGTTCGCAGCACCCTCGATCATCTTTCATGACCTGAGAAGTTGTGTCTGGTGAGATTTTGTCTCCTGATCCCATTCTCTTACGCTCGGAACCAGCCCCACAGGAACACATAGAGCGGTGATACAGGAAATTAGACTCGGATAATTTTTTCCACTTTTGATCATTTTTCTACCTTTTCTGCTACTGAAACTGCTTCCCTTCTCTGAACAGCATTCACATGTAACTTTAATAAAATGAGGGACAAATTTTCAGTAAACATTCCAGTCTTCCAATGTCTGCATGGGAAGGGAGCATTCTGGAAGTGAGGGCCGTGTGTGCATGTGCAGAAGCCGAAGAACCTCCCAGGCAGCTCAGTTCTGAAGACATTTGTGCAGGGCAGTGAGAAGAGCAGTGGGTGGACGCTGAGCCAGGAAGGTGAGGCTTTCCCAAAGTGGAGGCCGGGGAAGGAAAGCAGGGAGGAAAAGAACAAGAAGGACACACTCTGATGCAGGTAGGTGTGTGGAGGGCTGGTGTCTTCAGCCTTTGGCAGAGTTCCCACAGTGGTAACTACCATGCACAAATGCTCGTAGTACCCTTTTACGCTCAAGGGATGTGAGACGCACTGATTGTTTCCCCTGTATTTTGAACTTTGCATCCAACTAGTGGGGAAAAATACTGTCATTATTCTTCTCCCACAACCATTCCTCTTGAAGGTATAAGGGTTGGGTGAATCCTTATAAAATGACTGGAGTTCCTTTGAAAAAGACTTGATGTGTAGCTGTTGTCACTTAGTTACCTCAATGTCTGTTGTTGTTTTATCTTGTTTTCTGAGACAGGGTCTCACTATGTAGTTTAGGCCGGCTTCAACTCACTAAGTAGCCCAGGCTGTTTTTAAATTTGAGGCAATTCTCATGCCTCAGCCTCCCAAGTGCCAGGATTACAGGTGTGCACTAGCACACCCAGCTGGCTACATCAACGGTTTTGTCCTCAGGAAGAAGGCAGAGACATACTGAAACCTATGCTGTTTGGAAATCATTAAAAAAAAATGATTTTTATAACATCTTTGGATGGACTGATTTCTTTTTCCAAACATTTTCTGAAGTATTTTCTAATTTATTCTTCATAAGCTTTGACTCTTATGACAATATTCGATTCTTTTGCCTGTGGAAGAGCATTCTATTGTTACTGCACTTTGCATGTTTTCTGATTCCTTTGTGACCATATTGTCTTCTTTTTCTTCCAGAGAAAACTTGTTCTGTTTTCTTCTTACTTTTGCCCCTCGGGGAGTGAGCACAATGTGTTTACATTGTCAGTTATACCTTAGGTGCTCAGATGAGCCCCATAGACTTGGGATTCTATGAAAATAAAGTCCATGCATTCCCAGAAATACCTAGGGTTGACATAGGGGAAAGAAACTCCCAACCTGCTAGATGTCTGGGACAAGTTCATGTGCTCTAAAATTGAAGAATGGATTTTAGGAACAATGGAGGTTAAGAGCAGAATATATTTATTGAGGGAAAGAAAGCTTCTATCTGAGAGAGAGAGAAAGAAGTGATCCTGAGTGGGTTGCCAAGGACCCTGCCTTCTCTAGGAATTTTTATAGAGCAAATCTACAACATGAGGCATGAGGTGGGAAAAATGGGAAATCACAAGTTGGCATGAGGTGGGACAAAACTATGGTCATCCCATAAAGTTACGAGTATAATCGCTCCAGTAAAATAGATTAAATCAGGATCAAATGGGGAAGTAGGTCATGTAGCAAGTGGGCATGGATATAGAACAGAGGCCTTTCACATAGGGGTTGGGTTAGTGACTCTTCCTCGCTCTCTCAAGGTGATAGAGACCTATTTAGAATATCAATCCTTGATGTTTAACCTTAGGAAGGTTTGTGGGTGCATTTGTTTTATCTTTTGTCTTGAGGTCTGGCTTACAGCAGAGGTGCTTCTCTCTCTCGCAGTTGTAAGGTATCTCATCTTCTGCCCTGGCTCCTTAGAGGGCCCAGCCCTATATGACTGCCTGTAATATTTTTATTTAACTTAGTTACCTATAATAGGGTCATAAGATACATGAGAAAGATCCCTCAAAAATTTGAAGATAGGGTTTATGGCTTAGTGGTGGGATGTCGGTGTAGCATGTACAAGGTTCTAGGTTTGATGTCCAGTACCATAAAACACATTTGGTGACACATAGTATTTGAGAGAAAGATAGTTAGTTATATTTTTTTGAGACAGGGTCTTGTTATGTTAATAGATGCTACTCAGCAGTTATTGAATTGAAAACAAACTTGGGGTAGATGTCACAGTACGGCATTTGAAGTACTTGTCCTAGTAAGGAATGTGAAGTACTTTTTAACTTTAGAGAATGCATAGATCAATATAGACAAGTGGTTGAGCTAGATCTTCTTAAAAAAAAAGAGATGATTGGGTTCTGGCATTATTATTATTATTATTATTATTATTACTTTTCGAAGTTAGAAAGTGGATAAAATATGTAGTAAGATAAAGGAATAATTCAAGTATAGTAGTGGAAATGGTGACAGACATGGAATATGTCAAGAGAAAGAGTGTGTTGCCATGTACATAGTCTGATGATGTAACAGTATAAGGAGAAAAATCTGTATCTATATCTATATATCTATATAACATCTATCTATATCTATCTATCTATCATCTATCTATCTATCATCATCTACTTTTTTTTAGGCAGAGTCTCGCTATGTATTTCTGGTTGGCCTTGAACTTGTAGAGAGCTTTCTGCCTCAGCCTTCCAAGTGTTGGGATTACAAGCCATGTGTCACTCCACCCATTCTGAAAACAATATGAAGTAATAAAATGATCAAAATGAGATAGAGTTGGAGAGACTTCCTGTGGAACTCTTGGGAGGCTACTTTCTTTGTAATCTTTTGAAATTTATGCTTTGAAGTTAAAAAGAATGATTTTGATCTATCCCATCTGTGATGGAAGAAAGGTTTCAGGGTCCAAGGGAAACAAAAACCGAGGTTTCTTATTTGCCAGGTGTCTGAGGAATGGGCTGGGCAGCTTTAGGCCCTCCAGTGGTGGGAGGTGCTGACTCCCACGACACCAGATAAGGTAGAAAGGTAATTAACCAATAAGAGACAAGGTGTTACCGGAAAAATGAAGTTCATGCACCTGATTACTAATTAATCAGGCGTGAGAGCACCTTGTCGACGTATTCACTGTTTAATTATAGCAGCCTCTCTTAGAAAAGAAGCATATGTTCCCAGCTTAATCTACTGGTTTATACTGACATCAAATTGTCATTATCAGAAAGAATCAGGGCTTTGATTATTTCCACTAATTTATTGAACACTTAAAATTAATGAACCCCAGGCTTTTTAAATGTGCTCAGTTGGTTTGGAAGATGGGAGGAGATAGGCGGACGGGGAAGAACCTTCATTAAAAGGACAATTTGTTTGGATAAAGGTAAAGAAAATACATTTCATGGGTGATCTGAACTCCACTGGTGAAAAACACAAGAATTTTAAAAACTGAGCTTATAAAATGATAGAGAGAAAATCGGATGTGAGGTATGGCCTCCTGGACACCGTTGGCCTCCAAAAAACATATGGCTAAATAGTTCCCTCCCTAACTATTTATGTGTCGGTTATTTCAGAGAGTCTTACTGCAATTACATTTATTAAATAAAGGCAATACAAATCAAATATTGGAAATCAATTGTTAAATTAACAGAGAATTCTTTTTTATGGTGAAAATTTAGTTAGGCTGAGAATAATATTACATAAAGCCATTTTTTTCACAAGTGAATATCATTAGCATAAAAATGATCTTTTTATCACCTCCCTGTTGTAGACTTTTGTATTCAGTTTCAGGTGAAGATCAAGTCCGGGTGAATCTCCTGGTGAAGGAAGGCGTGGTGCCCCCAACTATTTCTGGTGAGTATTAATTCACGAAACCAAAGCCCGTGGTGCAGCAGAATGTCCTCTAGTAGGTACAAGTTCATCCTTTCGATGTTATTTATAAGCAGGCAGGTATCAGCTCTGCTCCTATGCTGCCAACTCTATCTTGTTATGCCCTATCATTAAAATATGTGTCTTCATGTCAAAGAAAGATATAAGGGTGCATTTATTTTTCAAAACAATAGAAAGTAAGGATTGAAACATGTAAATAAGCACACTTCATAAATTATGGACCATATGTGCACATAGGACTGCAGATCTGCAGATGGGCCATTAGACCCACTCCAAATGGAAAGAGAAATCCAGGAAATCTCTAAACTTTAATTGTTCCTGGTAATTTCAGGAAATCGGTGTAAATAAATCCTCCCCAAAAGTCAGATGGTTCTGTGAAACCTTTCTAACTCCAAAAAGCAAAACTCTTGACGGGTAAAATCTCACAACTGCTTTCTCATGTATTTCATTATTTGCTTTTGTTTGCCTCCGATGTCTTGTAGGAAGGGTACGTCTCTTCAAAGGCAGAGTTTTGCTATGATTTTCAGTACCATTTTTGTGTTAGGTCAGAGCAGAGACCCTGCTAACTAGAAAATGACGTAATTCTTCCACTTCATAAATAAAAGAGGCAAAAGTACTGGATACAACTGTAGGCTAGAAGAACTGATGGCCTCTGCTCCATGGTCACTGTCCCATGAAGAGAGAAATCCAAGATCGTATTCCTAACAGGTTCTTAACTCCCAGCACTTTTCATTCTTTGTGTTTCCTGCCTTTAGTCCCTTTTTTTCTTCAGTGCTATATTAATAGAAGGCTCTGTGTGAGCTGAGAGCAGATCCAACAGTGGGTGAGATGGAGTGGTCTTTGGCTACATGGGGTTTCATTGTCTCTTGAGGATGTCAAACAATTATTTACTAATTAATGAATTAATTATCTTTAAAATAATTATTACCAAGAGAGAAATACCCTGTAATTCTCTCTTCTTTAAAGTCCTACATTCAAATTCTCTATGAGAATTGAGGGATTGGGCCCTTGTTTGCCTTTTTAAAATTTTTATTAGTGCATATTTTCAGTCCGTAGTGTTCACATTATCTGTAGAGTTGGTAGGTGCACATAACGCAGCTTCATTCCTCCTCTCAGCCCCTTTTCCTTCCTCTCCCGCCCTCCGCCTCTTAATCTCCTTTCCATTTGAGACAGATCTGTCCCCCTACTTTCTATTACATCTTTTATTTTGCTCTTTGTTTGTAATATAGGTTTTTAACATGACAGAAACCATGCAATATTTATTTTGTAGAAGACCTATCTTTTGGATAAGCTCCTGTACCAGACCACTTTAGTGAATAATGGAATATGTCTGGATGGTCATTTCTGGTTCAACCAGCCTTTGTCAGAGTGGCCTGTCATGCAGCATCTACTATGAAGATTTCGTGTTCAGGACTCTTTGGAAGGACAGCATGAGTGGCCAGCACTCAGACACTTCCAGGAGCCAGTAAAGCCCAGATGTGCTTTACTTCTGTAAATTACAATATGCTGAGCAAACACAATGCTGATGCTACTTAGAGTGGTAACTTTTAACAAGGGGAGGGACCTTACTGGCCTTCCTCTCTAATTTGCTTTATTTTCCATATGGGGCCATGGATGCCAGGAGATTAAAACCATTTACATAGACTGTCAGTAGTGCCTGGTAGAGCCTGGGTAAGAACTCACATGTCCCAACTCAGCTATACCGTGCAGCCTGTAATGCATTTCAATTATTTAAGGGGGAATTTATTAATCTATGAGTTGAAGTAAAATCTATACCCAGTTTTCCAATCTTATATAGTTTGAGATAGAAAAGTATTCCAAAACCCAAGAAAGTATGGAACTAGTACATTATCACTCTGTCTGCAAACTTCTCAAAAGAGTAGGCGTCTCCTGATGTAGAGCTAGAAAATGTAGATTGGATGGAGAGCGAGTACCTGGAGGGCAATGCGAAGCTCGCATTTCAAACTCAAAACCACCTCAGATTTGGGCTACTGTTGAGCGATAAGTTTTTCTAGAGAAGCACAGTGAGGCCTCATTACAAATGTCGATCCTGAGTAAAATCCATGTACTTCCGTTTTAAAATAAGTTAATCTAATGATTGTGGAGACAGACCAAGTGTTGACAGTCTCCTGTCCACTTAAAGCTGTCCACTCCTCAAGGAGATTTTTGGGAGACTGGACCCGGCTTCTTCCTGTGCTCACCTCCACTACAGTCCTTAACCCACTGTAATATGGTCCCACCTAATTTAGTCCGTGTAAGCAGAACCACTCCCATCCTGCTCACCCTTGGCCTGATTGTCAAATTCAACCATTGTTTCTAATTTCTTGTCTCACCAGAAGTTTGCTATTAACTAGGTTACTTCTCCTCTCTAGAGTTGCTTTATTTCTTAGACTTCAAGGAAAGGTAAACAATATATCTCTGACAGTGTTTTCATTAGTCCTTATTAGCTTCTTTCTCTTTCACCAACTTTCAGGGTCAATAATAGTCATGTGGAAGCCTACTTTGAACTGTATAGAAATCAAATCACGTTAATAAGAGATGGAAACATGGGAAGCAGAACTGCACAGAATGATCAAATTGGTGCATGACATCCACTCATTAAAATAGCCACTTACAGTTCAATTTATCAGATTAAAAGTAGCTGGGCCCTCCTGTGAACTGGAATGAAGATGGCAGACTGAAGAATGTTTCCACCATTTGTGATACAAAGTTTAAGTAACCATGGGTTTCTGAGGCTGGGCAATGGCAGGACATCCTGTCTGGCCTTTGCGGTAGCAGGTTCACCACCCCAACAAATATCCGCACTCTATCCCTGTTTGGGTATTTATAATATTAAGAAGAAAGCAAAATTGGAAGAAAACTTAGGAAGTTATCACAGTACATTTATAGAACATTCATAAGCTTCTTTCTAGGCTTATTCCAAGACATTGCCATATTTCTGTTGTTTACCGTGTGCTCATTAAGTTGCACAAGATTTCTGTTTCACCACAGTCTATGTACTTTAAGTATTTGAGGGCTCCAGACCATCGCTCCTGGGGATTGCGTTCTGGTAGAAAGAACAGCTGAGTGTCCCTGTGATTCTTGCAGCAAGCACTTTCTCTGTGCACTTAATGATCCTTGGGGTTATCAGTCATACTTGGAGATTAAAGGACAACCGCTAGGCAGATTATGATGGAGCCTATGTGTCAAACATTGGCGGTTAAGTAAATCACAGATTTGAATATGATAGGCTGTTATGAAGTCACTAAGATCATGTTTACAATGAGTTTAATGGCTTTAGAAAATGTGCAGGAAAAATGGCTAGGCTAAGCAAAATCATAGCTGATTGCAAACATAAGAACTGGATGTGATATAATCTCAATTACACAGAAATACCAAGGTATTCTAGAAGGAAACACAAATGAAAGGTTGCCAGCAGTTATCACTATGTGGAAAGATTACGGGAAATTTTTATGTTTTTTTCTTACAGTTTCCAAGTAATCCATAATAGGCCTATGTAATATTTACAATAAAACAAAACACAAGTGTTTAAAAAGATTGAAATACATTTTTCTTGGAAGTGGAGGTAATCTAAGGGTTGGATAATTATTTGCTTCCAGCTGATAAATATTTTTATGAAATCTTATATAATATCAAAAGGCACCTATTTGAGGAGGTGAAATACCATATGCCTCCTAAAATAAGGATAGAATTTGAAAATCATCATAATGAATAGTGTTTTTTCTTTATTTTCTAGCTTCTACCTCTGCATCTGAATCAGCTTTAAAATGGTCCCACTCTGAAGCATGGCAGGATGCTAAAGAGGGCTGGGGAGGATACAACCACAGCATTCCGGGCCCTGGGGATGATGTCCTGATTTTACCCAGTGAGTACAACAACCTAGGAGATTAATCATAGGCAGACTGAACCAGGCCTAATCAGATTGGAGATTGTGTTTCATTTATGTTGTCCAACACAGAAAGAAAATAGAAATAATTTGACACTTATTATCACAACCCTTTTTTAGGGGACTAATATAGGAGAGGAGTTTCATGGCTCAGTGAATTCCAGAACAAATAGCCCACCTACCTTTACTAAAGTGAAGTAAGCAAGCATTATCCTAAAAGGGGTTTAGACAACTACTAACTGGATAATGTCCTTCATAGCTCAAAAGAACACGGATAGTATAGAAGAAAACAATTCATAAATGTCTCTTTAGTTTCTGACGTTGTGAAGTTTTACATATAGGACTGAGAAAAGTGGAAAGCTGTCTGTTGTCAACATTTATCAAAATCCTAGAGAAACATGACAACAAAACTCCTACCATCTCTCCATCCATGTATCTAGAATTACCTCCCAGTATGGCAGTATAAAACAGTGCTCACAAACCTGTGGCATGTGTGCCATAGCACGCTATTTGTATCTTTAAAAGCTCTAGAAGGTTCGCCGTCACTGATACAGAAGAAAGATAGTTCTTAAGATATACACAAACACCTATACTGAAAATATTCTTTTTATTTAAGAGTGAGTTCGTAAAGGTCCCAGAAAAATTTCACTGGCCTGAGATGAAAATGTCTTCCATAGAATAACTATGTTTCCTCCCAAAGTCCAAATTCCATTTATGGTTTAATTGTCACCTCTTAAGGCAATGGTTCAAATATCCTTTGGCCACCCATGAGGTAATAATCATAATGTCAAACATTTACTGCACACTAACTGTGTACCTGGAACTGTTCTTCAGGTACTGGTTCAGTCCTCACAATAGCATTGTAAAGTAGGTAGCATTACTATCTTCATTTCTACAGACAGAGAAACAGGCCCACGGCAGTTAAATAACTTGTTCAGGGTCACAGAGCTTTCAATTCAGCAGAGTCATGATTTGAACCCAAACAACTTGATTCCAGTCCTTATTCTTAAGCCATGAAGTACATTCCCTTTCTGAAAGGACTGAAGGTAATATAAGAAAAAGAGTTAGTTACACTGTTTGCTTTTTTACAATGGCAGAATGGAGACTGAGTAAAACAAGAACACACTGACCTCTTTCTGGAGCTATGTACCGGAGGTAGGCACAGGAGGGAGTGGGCCACCCAAAATAAACTTGAATTATTGTTATCGTCTAACTTTCCCATCATCCTCCTCTCTCCAATGGAGGATGTAACCTTTTGAATAAACAAGCTCATGAGTCATTCCTATACGGAAAAGAAAAATCTGTTCTGTCTCTGCCATCTCTTTGATAAATCTCACTATTGGGTTTGCCCTGGGCTATGGTTTTTCCCACTGAGCAATCTGTTTCCCCCACCCTACACAGGAAGGAAGAAAAGCTTTTGAAGGTTGCCAAGCTTTTAGTATCCTTTGGGGCTTTTATGTTGAGGAGCAATCTCAGCCATCTTGCTTGGCATTGTGCTTGACAGTATTTGTCACATGTCCCAGGTCCTGGGGACATTCTCCATTGTCCTTTACTCCTCTGTTCACTCTCCACAGGGCTGTCCTTAAACAGCATAAACCTGTCCTGTGGGCTGAGGTCTGGGTTCAAGGACATTAGTTATAGAAGGTACCTTCTAATTAATTAGCCCTTCAGCGTGACAAGGGAAAGAAAGATTTGAAACCTATCCACTTACCGTTCACTCTTTTTAGCTTTCATGTGAAAGGATAAATGAGTGAGGAGCTCTCTGTGTAGAATGGGATCCTTGCTCTGTGCACCTCGCTCTGTCCTGTTCTAAGCCAGGGCTATCAACTGCTATGGGCCAGCACTGGAACCCACTGTACTGCTCAGGTTTGTGCCTCATGCAGCAGCTGCACTGCTATACCTTCTGACTTTTGACAAAGCTTACCTGGTATTTTGACCTTCTCCAGTGGGCCCTTAGGTTGACTCTCCATTTCTTTCTGCTTGTGGCTTTGCCCCTCCCTGAGCTCTTCATCTTTGCCAAGCTTTCCTTGTTTCCTTCACTTTCTGTCTTCTTTGAATCCAGTTTGCTCCCCTGAGTCCGGCAGAAGGACAGACACTCAGGAAGTGTCACTTAAATGAACTTCATGAGCTCAGTGACTCCATCCATAATGCAATAACAGAAGTAAAACTTTGGGCTTCAAAAGTACAATGATCAGGTGCTATGAGTTTGTGGGAAATAATGTCTCATCTTCTGAACAGATTCCTAAGAATTATGAAATGGCTTTGATAAGGGTAGTCACAAGTGTCCTTTGAGTGTCTTCTGTGTGCCATGTGCCGTGCTGAGGGATCCGCACTAACTTTTCTCGCTTAATACTCACAGCTACTCTATAAGACGATCCTGTTTTTATTCACAGTTTTACAAATGAAGCAATATGGATGCAGAGAGGTTACAGAGCGGGCGAAAGCTTTACCCCGGCAGAAGTACAGAAGGCTGAGCAGGAAATCAGGGTTTGGTTCAGAGTTGTTTTGCAAGTCTTTTTTGCTTCTTCTAGATTGCCATCTCTTCCTGCTCTGATTGACAGACACCAGGCACAGGTCACTAAATTTGAACTTCTCTGTTTAGTGTTCATATTACTCTCTTAACTAGGGATAAAAGCAAAAATGAAAATAGTACCTATATAATATGTGTGGATGTGGCCTCTGGTCTTTTGTCATTACATTATGGATACTCTACTGGAGGAATTTAATCTTATCACATGCTCTTGGAAAAACTGGAGAAACTTTCCCTACTGTGAAAAGTGCACTAGCTTTGCATCTGGCAGCAAATACAACTGTGCTTCAAATGAAACCCCTTTCCAGTTGTGCTTCAGAAATATTTACTAAACACTCTCTCTGTTCAAGGGACAGAACCAAGTATGTACAAAGGCACAGAACCAAGTATAGGTGCCAAAGGCAAGTTAGATGCAGCTACAGTCTTAACACTTGGTGATTTACCAGGTTTAATAAAACACGTAATACATAATAATACAACAAATAGCCATAATAAACACAGAATGTGTTTGGAATCATACTGTCTCATGAGAGTAGCGGAGAAGGGGCTGCAGTTAAGAAGGCACAGTTGTAATGGACTCTAAAAGATGAGGTAAGAATGTAAGGCATGGCAATGAGACAAAAGGTGATACTGAGATCTATTAGTGGATAAAGCATGAACCTGAATTCATGCCTGGATCCTGCGTAATGTTTACCAACTGTGTAACATTACTGTAAAGGCTTCTACCCTCATCTATACCAGAAAGGCTATAATTAATATATACCACGATGTTAGGAAGATTAAAGAAGATAGCGTCAGTGTGCATGACCGCCGCATAGAGCATGAGAGGTAATGGAATTAGATGTGAAAGCTGTGATTTGTAATGTATCAGGCGCTCTTTTCCCTCACTTTTCCACCTGGCTGCCCCCTTGGCCTCTGGTATTAGCAACACTTTGTATTTGCTTTCCAATGGCTTATTATTTAATTTTCACAACATCCTTGGGAGCTAAATAGGTAATAACTATTATTACAGTAAAAACCCATTTTTACATAATACGATTTTAATGGAACTGCTGATTTTACAAAATGAAAGTGACTGGTAAAGAAGATTTAAGTGATACTTTTGAACCTCTAATACAATTTTATGGTGTTTTGTATATTTTAATTCATTAATAAAGGAAATGTGTAGAACATTCCCATCATTATTCAAATAGAATAGCATAATTTTTCAATAAAATTCTTAGGGTAAATTGCCTATTTCCATTTTCTGGGAAATCAATTTTATGGAATGACCTCAGACCCATCCTATTCCATAAAAATAGGACTTTACTGTACTAATAAAAGATATCACTATCTTAAGTACGGTACCATTTTCCTTCAAGGCGTTCTGTCTTTATAGACACTGGATTTTGAAAAAGCTGTAAATTTCCCTCCACAGTGTTATACAGAATAGGTTGACGTGATCATGTAGAATTTGCTCTTGTGGTTTAGTTTACGATAACTTTGCTTGATATAAACAAACGTATCTGACCACCTTTGCCTTCTAAGCATTGCGAGATTGGGCCTTATACAGCCCAGGTTTTTTAATTAGTAGGAACATGTTCTACCTAACTTAGTATGCAAATCCCAACCTCCATGAGGAATAATCCGTCAACAGGTAAGATGATCCCGCTAGTGTCTTTTTTGAGCTTTGTCCTGAAATGACCAGAAAGGATACATGTAAGACACTTTCACTTTTTCCTCTGAAGAAATTTTAGCCTTGGCAAGATGACACCTTTTTTGCACAAGACAGGCTTAATGGAAGGAAAATGTTTTATATTTCTAAATGATAGGATTCTGTCTTGAAGAATACAGATATGATACCATGTAGCCTCCAGCATTTTTTGATGTGTGTGTTATGGTGGAATTCATTTTTCATTTTCTATATTACTTTGAACTGTACTTATTTGAAGAGATGAATGGGAGAGTACTGTTTTTCTTTTATAAGACTTCTTCTGTTCGGATTCTCAATACTTGGATATTTTAAATGGCAGGGAGGCTCATGAAAGCCATGCGATGTTCAAAGATGGCAATTTTTAATGCATTTTCTTTTTAAATTATAAGGCATTATCATACGCTGCTGATATAAGGCAAGATGATTATGAACCAGAAAGTATTTTTGAGGGAAGGAATTCCTATAAAATATTGTGATTACAGAACTATTGACTTGATTTACCTTTTTATCTGGAGTTATGTCTAATTTAGGATGATTTACACACAAATGGAGCTTCAGATGTACAATGCCAATTAGAATCCAAACATAAATATTGGCATTGTTGCTATAGCTGAAACAGCTCTCTTAAGTTTGTCCTTGTTTTGTTTGGATGTAACTGAAAAGCTGTGGAGATCATCAACCAGTTATTTTTTATTACTAAGAAATGGGAGGGCAAAGAACTTAGTTTTAACTTACTGGGGTCCAGGCTGGGGATTT